GGGTCATCTAATACTAATTCCCCGAGTCTTGCTACCCCCCAAAAGGCGACCAATGCGATGGTAGTCGCTACTACATCTTGCTCGACTTTCATGTCTTCTACCCTCGCCAATTGGACTAAATCCGCTACTAGGACCGGCGGTCTCTTCTTCTCAATTTCCTTGTGTTTTAGTTCGATTATTTTGGTCGCTTTCAGGAGCTTTGACACCGCTAATTCCGATCCCATTGGATATTTACATTTATGAAAAATATGCCATGCCTTAATTCCAGCTAAGTATGACAGTATTGTGCTTGATTTTACAGACTCATCGTCTTCGGCCAGCGAGACTCCTTTCATCAATGCCCACACTACGAATCTCTCAACTAAATCTTCTGAAATCGGCAGCAATTTTACTCTATCTATTTTCTTCACATCCGCGAACCTCATCAACTTTACGATTCCTGAATTGTAGTGTTTTAACGTCCCATCTTGCCATGCTCCCCGAAGGAAGTGCATTTGTACCTCGTCTAACTCCGATCTATCTTCACCCCGTGCGTCTTTCTTGAAACTCCCGAACGGCTTGGTTGCTTTGGATATCGACCTAACGGACTTCGCCTCTTCACTCGTTAGGTTCTTTGTCGATTTCCTCGGCATGTTTTGTTATATCTCTTGTTGATCCATGGATGGAGGGGGTAGCGAGACTTGGTGTAGTAGTTCTTTTAAATCCGGTGGGATCTCGATCAGCACCTCGTCACTCCAGCACCTTCCTGTCAAAATCCCTCTCGATATTCCATCCGCTAGGTTATTTTTCGATGTTACACGTTTCTCTCTGATGTTACATCCCAAAATGGTGAGTAATCTCTGTATCCGTTTCATTTCTTCATTCACTCTCATATCCTTCGATTTCCTTTTCTTGATTGCTGATTGCGTCGTCGTGTTGTCCGTTTCTACTCTAAACGTCCTTCCTCTTACTGCCATCACCTTTTGTAGTACTAAGAGTCCCAGTCTTATAGTGACAGTCTCTGCCCACGCTATGTTGCGCTTTCCTGTGGTCAAGCCTTTTACCAACCAGTCTTCGTTCCAGGCGAAGCATGCCCACTTCTGCCCTATTAGTACTCCGATCCTGTGTTGACGGTGGGTGCGTGGTCAGTATCTTTTTCCTCTTTTCATACTTCAGTATTCTTAGTCTCCTTACCCATATGTTGACGAGGCATCGCCTACCCAGTCTACCATTTCCGGCACTCTGCTAGGTACTAGCGTGCACGCCTCGAATGTTTCCAGGCATATCCTCCATTCGACCAGATCTGACACCACGTCTTCCGGCGTGAACCTTTTGGCCTCGAGATTTCTCCAGGATTTCAGCCATCTGTAAAAGGAGCATAAGTACGCTGCCATGTGCGGCACAATGTGGATCGTGTGTCCGAGTCTGCCTAGGAATCTCTCCACTTGGTCGTACTTCCAATCCTTCCCAGAGTCTAGGTAGTCTATTACTTGCGTAAGTCTTTTGTCTAATTTCTCTTGAGGCAACCGTACTGAGTGGTTCCTCCCATTCCAGATGAAGCCTAGGAATTTCTGTTCCTCCGCAAAGTCTCGGTTCTTCTTCTGGCTTGTTTTTACCCCCATATCGTTACTCAGCTCAACTATATGTTCTAATTCCACGTTGTCTCCCGGCCTTCTCAAGACTAAGCTGTCGTCCACCCATCTAAATACCTTTGGTATGTCCAATATTTTGACGATTATCTTCTTCCACGTTTCAGCTGCTGCTCCAAACACTCCGCAGCTCGCGACTCCCCCAAACCCTACCGCCAGGTCGACCCAGACATTTCCTTCAAAGTCCATTACACATAGGAACCTTCTCTGGGACGGGTGGAGGCCTAACTGCCTGTAGGCCTTCTCCCAGTCTACTAGGGCCAACTCCCATTCGCCTGGGTTTTCGCATAAGAACTTGGCCACTGTCTTAAAATCGTCCCAGTTCGTTTCATAATTTCTTTTATCTACAAATGAGTTCACTGACGGTATCCCTGGCCTGTTCTTCGGGTAAGATAGGTCGTATATCAGTCTCATCGAGCCGTCTCCGTTTATCGAGCTACCCATCGGGTTCGTCCTGAAGAATCCGAAGCGCTCATATACCTCTTCATGGGTGAAGGGTCCTATGATTCGGCCCGCTCTTGCCTCCTTTGCTAGCGTGTTCCTTATTTCTCGCTTTACGTCGTCTGCCGATTCGTGGTTGGGAGGTGTGTACCACCTCTTATCCCCTATAGAGTGCTGAGGGATCCCCAAGCAAAACCCATCTCTAAAACCCTCCGTTATGTAAGTTATGTCGTCCTCTAACCCGACTTCCTTCATAAGATACTCCCACTCTTTGATGTTCATTCCTGTCTCTACCGCTGCAGGCCAATCACTCCTAACTTTCGCTTTGAAGGTCAGTCGTTTGTTCAAAGGTAAGGCTTCTTTTATGCCTTCGTCTTCTGAGTCTTCTTCGTAGTTACTACTCTCTGACTCGCTCTTCTCGGACTCCTTTGTGTCTCTCTCCTGCTCTGTCTCCATCTGCCTGCTTTTGTCCGTTGTGCGTTCAATCAAGCATTCAGGTTCCCGAGGTTTCTTTTCCTTGATTTTCAACTTAGGTGGCGCTTGTCGGTTCAATAGTGCTCGGGCGTTCTTTCTGCTTCGTAGCACTGTCTCACTCTCAGGGGGCTCTCGACTCTCGTCTCTCATTTGGCTTCTGAAAGAAAGCGGGACTAGAAAAACAAACGGCACGCGCAATCATGATTTATCATTTCATGTTTCTACACAAAACCACCCTCAAGTCTCAGCTTCATACAAGGAATTTCCCGCACCATTGGTTCAACATCACCCATTTCAAGATACGTTCCCAAATCGACATAATTCGTCAATTTCCCGAGGGCCATACGTCAATTCCCGTTTAAATACAACCCACTGTCAGTCTCTTCCTTTCCTTTCTACCTTCAGACTATCTTACTCACGTTTCTCCTCTTCCGTATCCTTTCCCATTCCCCCTACTTCCTTTGCCCGCCAATGACGCTTGGATGTTCGTGTGCTTCTGCCCTAAGGCTACCCACTCTTTTCCCGTCTGCTTCTTTGGTTACTACGGGGGTGGTTGGCTTTGTCCCAAGCCTCCACTTTCCTCGTGCTTGTTCCAATGACCCCTGTTTCCACCCCTCTGTCTTCGGTTTCCCCTCCAGTTGCCTTTCGACGATTCCTCTTGGTGCTGTCGTTGGTTTTGATAGCTCGTCGTTTCTTTCTCTTGGCCGGTTCTGAAGTCGAATCCGAATTTCTTCTGTCCCACTGCATAAGGGTTGCCTTGGAATTGGAGGTCACCTGCTGTGTGTGCGTCCCATCTTGCATCCGTCGCCGCTTGCTCGTCTAATCCATCCGGTAAGATCACGTCATCTAACTTCCTCTTCTTCTTTCCATTTTCCTCATACACTACTGATGATCTCACTCTAAACGTGACTGCTCTCATTGCTAGGTGGTATCTCAACCCTACCATCCAACACTTGTTCTTCCTGGCTAGCGTACTGACTATCTCTTTATGCTTCTCCACGTACGTCGCATAATCATCGTATTTGTATCTTTCTTTTGCGTATCTATACTCCAAGTTGCAAGCTTCAATAAACTCTCCGTACGTCATCTGCTTTTCTAATTCCTCCCTTGACTGATGGTGGCTGTCCCACTTGTGCTTGCCTTCTCTAGTCTTTGGTGTCGAGTTGTATTCGTCTATGTATGACGCGTTGAGTACTGTTAAAGGTACGTAGTATTTCATTCTTCTGAAATTTTTCTCACATTGGGCAGGGAGGTCTGGAAGGTCCACTGCTGAAGCTTTGCTGAATTTGAACGTGACAGGTTTCTCTATCTTCGTCTTCTTTCCGACGTCTTTAGATGAGTCTGATTCGGAGTCCGATTCGTCCTCTGACTCTAAGTCTAAGCCGAGTGATGGTGATCTCTTCTTTGTCGGACAGTTTCCGTTGTATGAGGAGTCGGACTCTGATGAAGAAGATGAGGAGTCGCTTTCCGGGACTGGAGGTTCGTGTCGTTTCTTTCCTCCCGGTTTCTTCTTCGTCTCTCTCGTTCCTTCCTTCTCTTCCTCCCTATCCTCGCTATCTCTCCGTTTCTCCTTTCTCCCCTTCTTCTCTTCTTTCCTCTTCTTCTTCTCTTCTTTCTCTTCCTCTTCTTTCTTCTTCAACCTCTCTTCCGTTCTAGCTGACTCTAACCTGAACTCCTCTCTAATGGCGTGGATGTCGCCTTCACCCTTCCCTTCTAGAGCTTCTACCAGCCTGTCTATCAGAGGTCTATCGTCTTCTTTCCTACTCGGATCCGGCCGCTTCTTAGCTTTGGTATCGCTCGGTATGTCTGTTGTGCATCAACCAGCATAAAATTTGAAGGGGTAAATGCTTGTTAGCGCTCATCCTTTCTTCTTGTTTTTAGCTTCTACGCTTTGCGGAGCTGCCATGCCTAGTACGCTTCTACAGTAACTGGAGCGAGGGGTATATAGACCCCCTTAGGTTTATGGACTTTTATTTCGTTCTATGGGTTGAGGAGCGCTAAGCAGCTCGACTTCAAACCCCTTTCCCTTCCGTAGATGACTCATTAGAGATCTCACTTACAGTGGTCCGTCTCCAACAATGACCTGAGGTCCTTCTTTCCTCCCCTTTCTCTTCCTTCATCTAGGGACGAAACTGACAAGGATTTCCTTCTCGCCTTTCCTTTCACTTTCTTTCTCTTCTCCACTGTTACCTCTACCTCTTCCTCTGATCCTTCAGATCCTTCTTCTTCCTGAATGCCCGGCACTTGAGTCTCGTGTCCTCCGTCTTCTAATTCTCTTGCCTCTTCTGCTTTCTCTCGCTTGTCTTCATTTCTTTCGGTTGCTTCTTTCTTCATCTCCAGTGACATTTCAATGCTTGGGCCAGGTTCCGCTTGGTTCATCGAGGTGCTCTGAGTCATCGGTTCTATTGTTCTCTCTGTTCCTAACCTTGATTCTGCTCTTCTCTTCCTCAGTTCGGCTTGTTCTAGCTCTTTCATCTCTTGAAGTTTCTTCTTCTCCTCAGCTGACTTTATTGCCTGAATCATATGTTCCGATTTGAATTGGTTTTGTGTGTTAGATTTTCTTTTAAGTTGCCTCCACATTCAATGTTTGTTTGTTTGTTGGTTATGCTATTTCTGTGAAGTAGGTTTGCTAGGAGGATTGGTTGCAATAAAGATGTGCCTGTTCCTTCTTGTTTACTCAAAAAAAATCCTGAGAGATCTAGAGATGAACTGATTCTGTAGATCCTCAGAGTGTAGGCAAGGAGAGAGGCGATGAGGTTGAGTAGAGAGATGAAAACTTTGAATCTCTCTATAAATCTCATCGTCTGGTTCTACCACCACGTGACATGTGACGATTCACCTGTCACCCTAGAATCTACCTTGCCTACACCTTTCAATCACGACCCGCTTCCCAAAAATGGAATGTAGGGTACCTCCGCCAGCTCTGGGAACACAATCTAATGTTAACTTTTTGACTATTGAAAAAATTGTGCCCAAAATTCACTACATATAATTCTGTAGGTGCTCAGGCAATATTGTTGAAGCTATTTCTTAGTAACAGAAAGGGTGTTACATACAGTTGAGTTGATGAGATTACACCAAAACATTGAGTCAGTGTATGTAGTCAATCTTTGGAATGCTTTTTTTGATCTCCAAAAGGTTACAGCATGTATTACATATGAATAACTTATCCTGATGAGCAGATAACTGAGCAGAACTGTATGTACACAATAACCACATATTCACTGAGCCTGCTACACATATGTAGTGTGGGTGTTATGGCTCAGGTGTGGAGTGATAGATCATTTTATGACAAATCATACTCCCAGTCACTTTTTCCTGCCCACTTGGGGAAGTTGAATAATGTTTGCAGTGTAGATAAACATATTGTTAATGTGCAATAATGTGCAATTAGTTGCACTTGACAATAACCATTGTTCAATCAGCCATACTGAACAAACCAAGTGTGTACTGGGAGTGAGGATCTTGCTGTCTGGGTTGCTTCAAGAAAGGTTAAGATATGTCTGCAGAGAAAATCAAAGTCCAAAAATGAATAGTCTGCTGTGGGCAACAAGATTTGCAGGCCAAAATAACCATTGCAGCCAACTATCCAAAAGTCAGACTTTTCAAATTTATGAAAAGTCTGCTGTGGATGCTTGTACACCAAACTCAACAAAGTCCCTTGTTTTTTGAGCTGTACTGGCCAGATCAAACTAAGGACTTACATTCAATGTCCCAAATTTGGTGTGAGATCTGTTGGGGGTTTCCCCCAAAATCTCTCATCCTCCCTGCACTCAAATAACACAAATCATCTCCTTTGGAGATGATAATAAAAGATATGTGCAGCTCCCCTGCGCATAATTTTCTGTACTCCAATTTTTGAGACTTCAAATGGTGCAAGAGATATCTCAGAAAAAAACTTTTGGGCCAAGTTCAGGGACGTAGACAACTGGGGCATCAAAAGTTTGAAATTTTGGGGCAAAACCCAGTTTTTGTTAACAAAACCACAAATCCGCTTCAGTTGATACAACAATTTTTTATTTGACCAAACATTTTCTGCCGCACAGCTTTTGCAGTTCAAGGGGCCCTGTTTGACCCTGGGTTTGGCCCAAATTCATTTTTATGAGACTACTTTGAGCCCTTTGAGATATTAAAAATCAGAAAACGGGAAATTGTGTGCAGCAAAGCAGT